AAGATAAGATAAGATAAGATAAGATAAGATAAGATAAGATAAGATAAATTTATTGTCATTGTACTCAGAACCTGAGAACAACGAAATAAGGTGCTCTTTCACAACATACAACTGAACAACACCAAAAGACATATACAAATAACAATGTAAAACAAATTGAAACAACTAACAGTTAAACAACCAGGATATATATATGTTAAGACCACCAGATTCATAACTCTGCATTTAACCTGATCACAGCACTTGGGTAAAAGCTATGTTTAAATCTACTTGTCCTGGCTTTCAGCACTCTATATCGTCTTCCTGATGGTAGGACCTCAAACAACAAGTGGCCTGGATGTGAAGGGTCTCTCAAGATCTTTTGTGTCTTCCTTCTACATCCCATGTTGTACAAATCCTCCAATGAGGGAAGAGAAGATCCGCTGATCTTTTGTGCCCTTTTCATCACTCTTTGGAGTCAAGGACTCTGTGACCTGAATGGTAACTCCTTTTCAAGGTTTCCACTTGCAGAATCATCATCAGAATTGTTTGACGTGCAAAGAGAACTAAACGTTTTTCTGTAAAGCGAAACAGGACAAACAACTTTGTCCCAAACCCCCACCTGTTTCCCTCGAGGGGAAGACAGGAACAAGAGAAGGAAAGGACTCATCCTGTCGGTTCACCAGCAGGATGGGAAGACATACCGAAGACCTCTTCGGTGGACTTCAAGGCCTAAGCATTATTCCCGACCGGTCCCTATTCCATCCCTCCATTCCCAGAAATGGACAGAAGAAGAATCACAAAACCTTAATTGGCAGGTCTTTGCCTGAAGAGTAGCTGGAAATGATGCCTTTGCAAGACTGCTGCTTCTACAAACCATCAGCTTTGTCGTATGAAATTTATTCAGTTATATCCCCATGTTTATTTTTTTTATAAGTAACTCAAAAGGCTCCTTCCTCCTCCTATTTTTCCCACAACAACCCTGTAAGGTGGGCTGAGCTGAGAGAGAGAGAATGACAAAGTCACCTATCTGGTTTTCATCGCTATCTCTCTTTCTCTCTCTCTCTCTCTCCCTCCTTCCCTCTCTTTCTCTCTCTCTCTTCCGCTCTCTTCTTTCTTCTCTTTCTTTCTTTCTCTCCCTCTCCCTCCCTCTCTCTTTCTCTTTCTCTCTCTCTCTCTTTCTCTTCCTCTCTTCCTCTTTTTTATTTATTTTTTCTTTCTTTCTCTCTCTCTGTCTTGCTCTCTCCCTCTCCCTCTCCCTCCCCCCCCTCTCCTTATGAAATGCTAACTTTTTCCTAGATGTGTAACCCTACTGGATCCTTCCATCTCATCCAACAAACTATTGCATTATTGTGCAGAAAAATAGAAACGATTCTGATTGTTTTTGTTGAAGCAAGCAAAAGAAAAAAACAAAAACAAAAATATTTTCCAATATTTAGCACTGAATTAAGAGAGTGCCTGGCAAGAGAGCCACATATTTCTTGTGCTTCAATCTCCCAAGTTAGATTTGATGGATTGAGACCCAGCTGTTGAATCCCAAACCAAAGAGATTAATAACAGAGTGGGGTCTATTTTGGAGGATCTATCTATTATTATTATTTTTTGATGAGGCTACCTAGCTTGGGTAATGAAACGTCTGCAAGGAAGCAACCAAACTCAGGGAGCACCAAGGACCCCACAGTTCTCTTCCTCAACCTCCTTCTCCTTCTCTCCTTCCTCCTCTTTGCAAATCCCTCTCCCTTCTAGCACTGATGATGTTACCTAATTGGATAATGAAACATCTGCAAAAACAACAACAACAACCCACCAGCAAGCTCAGAGAGTACCAAGGACCCCACTGGTCTCCTCTACCTCCTCCTCTCCTTCCTCCTCTTTGCAAACCCTAACCTGTTACAGCACTGATGATGTTACCTCGTTAGGGTAATGAAACGTCTGCAAGAAAACCACCAAGCTCAGACAGCACCAAGGACCCCACCAAGATCTATTTCCTTCTAGGATATCCTTCCTTGAGCGTTCCAATATCATAATAACGATTCTTCCTAATGCAAGTATTACCGAATGATTTTTTTTTTCTTTCTGGGAACCAAGGGAGGGGGAAGAGGAGGACAGCAAAGGAATGAGGTGGGAGGGATGGGAGTGAGGAGGGGGTGGAGAGAGAGAGAGAGAGAGAGACTGGGACTTTAGAAGTCTGTCTTTGACTTTTCCTTTCAGGAAGCATATCCTGTTCACATCGGACGGCCGTGGCAGTGGCTCTTGTCGGTTTGCAATCGGCTACGCCCTGAGGTTTTTCACCAAAACCAGCCGCACAAACAACCGTTTCCTTTGCATGGAGAGATAGGAGGGGGAAGCCAAACTTCCTCGCAGCAAGGATTCTGTTTTCCTGCTTTGCCAGTTTGCGGGGCTCCCGTCATCGAGGGAAGAGCAGCAGCGGTGGATGTGTGAGACCCTGGGAATACAGACGCCAGTCTTGCAGGACTCCTTGGGGATGCAATCATTTTTTATTTTTTATTTTTTTTTGCCCTCTCTGGGATTTGCTTGGGGCGCGAAGTGCTGAAGCCGAGGGCCCTCTTGGAGCCGTTCTGAAATTCTGGGGGCAGCAAAACCGAGATCTCTTGACGCCTCTTATGCAGGTCTTTCTCATCAGAATATCAGAATAAACTGGAGTTGGAAGGGACCTTGGAGGTCTTCTAGTCCAATCCCTACTCAAAACAGGAGACCCTATACCATTGGGCTGTCCAATCTCCCAGCTTCTTCTCACGGCCGTGCTACAGAAGTCTGCCTTTAGGGGCATAGTTTTTTTTTTGGGGGGGGGGGAGACCCTCAGCTGTCCGTGAACACAACTCGATCGGTGTAGACACTGCCTACGTCGACCCTTTGCCAGTTGGGTTTCGGAAAGAATGCGCCTCCTCGACGTTCAACTCTACACCAGCTTGGTCCTGCTCAAAGGGGAGGAAGGAGGATAAAGCAACCCCCACCAAAGGAAGACAAGCAATCTGGACGCCTGGTTCTTGCCTTTCCTTCGCATGGAGTTCTCCGCTCTGCCTTGTGGCTCTTTGGGCAGCCAGGACCTTCCCAGCAGCTGACTTGGAGAATGAATGGCGATGTACTCTAGCCATCCCTAACGTTCTCCTCTTCCACCGACCGGAGCGAAGTCAATGTGTTGCAGCTGATTGGGGTGTGGGTGTGAAACGCGTGGATCTTCTACCGAGAGCGGCTGGGCTGACCCTCAGATATGACAGTCCAGAAATTGGTAGCCACAGCCGTGTTGGTCGCTCTGGTGTCCCTCGTTCTCAACAACGCGGCTGCCTTTACTCCCAACTGGGTGTACCAGACCTTGGAGGATGGGCGGAAACGCAGCGTGGGGCTGTGGAAGATGTGCTGGCTGGCAGAGAAGGGGAAAGGAGGTGTGGGCACAGGTGCCAAGCACGGGCAAGGGGTAGAGCAGCAGCAGCAGCAGCACGAGTGTGAAGCCTTGAGCTGGGGTTCAGAGCCAGCTGGTTTCCAGGAGTCCCGAAATACTGTCAAATGTAAGTCTCGTTTCTCCTTCTCCCTCTTGACTTGGTCTTAAAAAATGGTCTGGGATGCACGTCACGTAGGCGCCTTTCCAAAAATGGCACTTGGACTTTCTTGGGTTTGTTTGTTTTTTCCCCCCTTGAAGACATTTTCTTTCTGAAGAACAGAAGAAGCAGCTTCTTGGATGAGAAGTGGAAGGTTTTCAAGGGAAAAGAAACAAAAAACAAAAAACACCAAGAAAGTCCAGTTGCCTTTTTGGAAAAGCACCTTTTGGGACAACCGTGACTTGGCTGATTGAGCATCTCTAAAGACCTTGGGTCTGTTATGCAGAAAGCTTGGCTAAGGTAGCGACAGCTGAAAAATTTGAAGGCGGACTGTGAAATATTTGCTCCCATCGGGGTTCTATCTGGAAAGGGCTGAAGGCAGAAGCCTTGCTTTCTCTTCAGAATGAAGCGAGAAAGATACTTGGGGGCAAAGGAAAAGAGATTGGGTCCAGAAAAAAAACAAAACACAATTGGGCTACAGGGGATGGAGAAAGGTGCAGAAAATGCAGGAGGCAGAGTAAAAGCTGTATTCAAAGCTAGATAAAATGAACAGGTTTGCAAGCAAGTCCGGCATCTGTTTTGACTTCTACGCCATCTGCAATGGGTGTAACATTTGCTGTAGTAGCTCATCCCTGCACTGGTCCAAGGATTAGACTAGAGACTGGCTCTCAACCTTGTCAACTCTAAGATGCATGGACTTTAGCTGCCAGAATTCCCCAAGCATTTCCCTGCTTGGAAATTCTGGGAGCTGAAGTCCAACCCAACTTAAAAGTCGACAAGATTTGAGAAACAGCAGACTAAAAGGATCCCTTAATTTCTATGATGCTGGCTGTTTTCCTTTTAGACTCGCAATCCAAATGTGGCACTGTTAAGGTGGGTACCATGGAGACAAGATGAAATCTCTGCCTGATCTTCCCACTTCATGCCCCGGTCCAAACAAACTCTTGGTTAAAAAGCAAACCTGGTTAAAAGAACTCTCCTTGCAAAATCTTCCTGGTGGGAGACGATAAAAGGAATCATTTTTGCAAGGAAAAAAAAAAAAGAGAACAACCAGTTACGAAACTCTTGTAAATCTCCTGCAGGCGACAGAGTTCTCAACTGTTCATTAATTCTTTTTTTTTTTTAAAAAAAAGGAAACTAGAGAACAACTATACTCGGCTCCGTGACACGGGAAGTTTGACCTTCTGTCGTGCTATTTCCAGTTCACTAGGTGGCAATACTTGGCAAGGTGTGGGAAAATTTCTAGGGAAGTCAATTCAAAGAGGAATATAGGAAGTTTTTTTTTTTTTTCCCCCAGCGGGTTGATTTCTTTGGTCCATTTCATCCATTATTGTCTGCTCCTTGTTGACTATGCTTCCCCCAAAATTTTAGGACATCCATGTCATCTGTTGCCTAGGAACTACCTGGGAATTTCCCCACCCCCACTGCATTCCAGCTGTTTCTGAAACAGAGCTTTCCAAATCTAAAAAGTGGATCCTTCTAGGCTTCCTTCCAGAATATCATGGCCAAATCTGTTCCAGAGATGGAATTCTCTGCTGTGTGGTTTTGTTTTGTTTTTGTTTTATACAGTTCCGATTCAGCTCTTTGACCGTACAGCTCTCTAATCCGAATACAATCTCCTTCTGGTGCTCATCCGGGTCAGAATTCATTCCGGAATATAAAATAGTCATGCAGATGTGAAGAAAAAGAGTCATATGATAGTGTTTGATATTTGAGGTGCGTCTCTCAAAGTGAATGGAGAAAATGAGGCTGCCACTGTGCCTAGACATTTTTGCTAGTTATCCAGAGCAGGCAACGCCAGCAATCAGAAGAAAAGCATGGATTTGCAACTGTACATTCAGAAAACCTGCCTATCAATAAAGTTCACATACTTCCTCAAGAAAAGCAGGATGCAGTGATCAAAAGAAGCATTGCAAATCTTCACGGGAACCCCTTTTTTTTGTAGGATATCAACTCCTCTATCACTAGAAATCTGCTCCTCAGACCCGTTTTTGCTTTTAATTAGGCATTTCCTAAATACATTAAGCCACAAGACACTAAACATTCAGCAAAGAACGAGGCCCTTATTAAAGTGCAAAAGACTGTACCAAAGATTAACTGCAGGGACTCTTTTTTTTTTTAAATGCAGCCTTGCAAGATCTCACTCACATTCCACTCTAATGCCTCTAATGTTTCTCGCCAACTAAGGCAAATATACGTGGCGCAGGATAAGGATGCAAGATAGAATTTGGGTCGGTCACCGGGACCAAAGGTTTACCCTTTCAAAAATAAATAAATAGAAAAAGAGTTCCTTCATTGACCCAGCCAGAAAGAAGGAAGTAGGTTCAGAAGAAAGGTAGTGTTATGGAAACCCATTTGTTGCAAAAACATCAAGAGACTTGTCCCAAAGTTTTTGCTTTTTCAAGAGGCAACTGGGACTTTCTGGTTTTTCTTTAAAGACGTTTTGCTTCTCACCCAAGAAGCTTCTTCAGCTCTAAAACATCTTCCAAGAAAAACCAGAAAGTCCAGTTGCCTGTTGAAAAAAGCACCTTTGGGACAACCCTGACCTGGATGACTCTCCATAGGCATCAAAGAGACTAATTAGAGTAGCCAGGGTGAAGCTGTGGGAATCTAGATGTCTTGGCAACTGGCATGTACTTACGACAGTTGCAGTGTCCTAATTTCATGGGATCCCCTTTGTCAACTTTCTGACAAGCAAAGTCAATGGGGAAGCCAGATTCACTTCACAATCGTGTTGCTAACTTAACGACTTCAGTGATTCACTTAACAACGCTGGCAAGCAAGGTCTTAAAATGGGGCAAAGTTCACTTAATACCTGTCTGGCTTAGCAACGGAAATATGGGGCTCAATAATGGTCATAAGCTGAGGACTAACTGTGCTGACATCAGCGAATGTAGACAGAGTGCAGATGGAGAGAGAGAGAGAGAGAGAGAGAGAGAGAGAGTCATCACTATTTTTGTAGTTTTTGGTGTAGTTCTCGTGGCTGGAAAAATTCCTTTAATCCTGATTTTGGCCCCATTAGGAAGATTGGCACACGGCCATCCTCTCAACTCAAGAATTCTACTCAAGAATTGCCACTATTGTCTGAGAAGCACATGTGCCTTTACTGAACGATTTTTATAAAGAGAGGGATTAGCTACAACTCAAGAGAAATAACTAGAGAAAGCTGTTTCCTATCCCAGCAAATTAAAGAGAATAGGAAGACGCTTAGGGGAAAGAATAGTTTGGTTCTTTGGTTGATGCCGGAAAGGAAAAGGAAAATGGATCCCGCTGGAACTTTGTTAAGAGTCAATTCCATCCTTTATTATCCTTTAATGTCCTATCAGGCTTCACAGTGGGGCAAAATGACACCTTTTTCTGCAAGAACCAGTATTTGGTGGCTTATTGCTTCTAGACAGGAAAGCTCTTCTGCTTCTAAGTCTTCTAATCGACTCTTCTCCTTCTAAGCCTTCTAAGCCAGACGACAGACACATCTTGAGACAGTGAATTTCAAACATGATGTGCATGGAGAATTCTTCCATCCATCTCAGATCTGTAGCCAAGGCACTGGAACTGGAACTTTCCAGAGCCCCGAGTTATGTCATGGTGAGGGAAAGGGCTCTTTTTCTCCAAAGTTGGCCAGTTATTTCATAAAGGTTTATCCGATATCTTGCTCCTTTTTCTAAGACAGGGAATCTCCAAACTGGGCAACTTGAAGACTTGTGGACTTCAACTCCCAACATGCCTTGGCCAGCCATGCCAGCAAGTCTTAAAGTTGCCAAGTTTGGAGAGTCCTGTTCTAAGAGAAAGAACTTTCCAACACATCAGCTTTTTTCTTATTTTGGCTGTTTCGATAAGGTAATAAAATTTCATTTTTTGGGGGGTGCCGCTATTGTTCTGGAGCAGTTGACTAGAACAACGAAACCCAGCTTGCTACTTTTCAAAACCAGAACTGTCTGTTGCATGGAAAATTCTCATGCAGATGTTATCCAGGTAGTTTACAAACCCCAGACATCTCACTTAGCAACAAAAATGTTGGGCTCCACTGTGGTCATAAGTCGAGGATGACCTATAAAATAACAGAATAAGAGAATAAACACCACCAGGCTCAAGGTTGACTCAGCCTTCCATCCTTCTGAGGTGGGTAACGAAGCTCCCACAACTTCCAAAGGCAACTTCTCTTCCATGGGTTGATTGTTTCTCACTGTCAGTTAATTTCTCCTTATTTCCAGGTTGCCTCTTCCATCCATTCTTCCTTGTCTGGCCTTTGGGAGCTTTGGAGAATAGCTTGACCCCTTCCTCCTCTCTGGGGCAGCCCCTCAAATATTGGAAGACTGCTATCCTGTCTCCCCTGATCCTTCTCTTCACTAGACTAGCCAGGCCCAGTTCCTGCAACTGTTCATGGTACCTTTTAGCTTCCAGTTCCCTAATTATCCTGGTTGCTCTTCTCTGCACTGTTTCTAGAGTTTCAATGTCTTTTTTATAGTGTGGGGACCAAAACTGGATGCAGTACTCTTGGTGTGGTGTTACTAAGGCATGAAAGTTTCTTTCAAAAGACACAGGAAAGAAGCAGGCGATGGAAAGTTGGTTTCCTATAGACTGGGAAAGGAGGAACAGTGAGGCAAGGCAAGGCTAGCCGGCCTTATTATAGCACTTTGGGTCAAGCATTCATGAAGAGGGGAGTGGTTCGGAGGGAAGAGGGGCTACGTGATCTGCAGGGAGTGCTAAATATAAACACCTGTCCAGTTGAATTATATGATTTACAGAAGTACATTTCCCAGATGAAGTGATTGGTGGGGGCGGGGAGAGAGGGAACCAGGCCAAAGGCACAGCAACTCTGTGTGGGAATGGGGAAGAAAGAAATGTTTACAGAGGCAGCAGACCAGATAATGCTGGGATTTATTAATCACGTCTCAGAGGCTTTGGAAAACAGCCAGGCCACAAAAAAACAAAAAAACAACAACCAACCACCCAGAAGAGTTATCCAAAAC